TTGTCCAACATGAGAGCTGACTATTGACTCCACAGTATGAATATCTTGCATGTTGGTTCTCTACAGTACACCATGTGTTTTTAGGTATGTGCTGTAGGTAAGTGACCACGTATAGAGGCCAAGGTGTTCACAGGCAGTGCTGGGTGTTACACTCCTTGAAGGTAGAATTTGCTGTATTTATTTTTGTGTCCATGAGCTTAGCCTCTGCCTGGAACAAGGTTGGTACTTAACACATGTTTGTTGAGGCAAAGGAACTATTGTTTCCCTACTCTATATGGGGTGTCTGCCAAGTCCATAATAATTCTGCCTTCTCTGGGAACTCAGAATTGGCATTGGCTATTTCTTCCCTGAACTCCCACACGCACCCATCCCCAGCCATAGTTAGCTGACCGGGGTTGAACACCTGACCGTAGCTGGGCCAAATTCCCCTCCTTGAGATTTGGAATTGAGACACTGAGTGACTGAGGGTCAGTCTCTGTGGCTAAACCCAGAACATATAAATACAGGAACTATTACAGAGCCATCTTGTAGCTTGAAGATTGGAGAAAGCTAGAATTCTAAGATGAAAGACTGGGGCTGGCCCCGTGGCTGAGTGGTTAAGTTCACACGCTCCACTTCGGTGGCCCAGGGTTTCACCTGTTTGCATCCTGGGCACGAACCTAACACTGTGCCCATCACGTTCATCAGGCCATGCTGAGGCAGCGTACCACATAGCACATCTAGAAGGACCTAGAATATACAACTGTATAATGGGGGGATTTGGGGAGAAGAAGAAGAAACAAACAAAGATTGGCAACAGATGTTAGCTCAGGGCCAATCTTAAAAAAAAAAGATGAAAGACTGAAGCCACCATATAAAGAAGAGCAGAAAGAATGTGGAGAGAAATTCCTGAAGGATTCCAGCCCCTTCCTAAGTCTTGGTTGCATTTCTTCATTTGATTCCATGAGACATCCTTGTGTTCTCATAATAAATTGTTTTGTGTTAAAGTTGGTTTCGATTATTTGTAACTAAAAATTTCCCACCACTATATCAAAATTTCAGGATTCTCATTTCAATGAAGGAAATTATATTAAGCAGAGAAATATATAAGAGGGAGAGACCAAATGTAGTTTAAAAATTATAAACAGAAATCATTTGGGACTCATATATTTAAAATAGATTTGGGTGGATTGGTAGAATAATGCTGAGGGGGCTCTGTGTATTGTTAGTTTTGAAGTAATAGGGAATTTTTCTTCAGGATGAAGTAGGAGCATGAAGAGAGAAAAACTAAAATCCATAGACAATAGTCAATGATAAAGCAAAGGACCAAATAGTTAAAATCAGATACATAGGAAACCTACAAGTCATTCCTCAATGCTTCCTAAACTTCAGTCCTCATGTCCAATCCATGGCCAAATCCTGTCTATTTCCCCACCTAACAATCTCTTGAGTCTGTCTCCATCCACACTAAGTGGCCATTACTTCTCATGAAGACTCCCACAGTGGCTTTCTGTAAGTGGACTTCTGGCAGCCATTCTTGCCACCCATGTTTTTCCACACTGTGACTAGAGTGGTCTTCTAAAAATGCCCAGTTGATCCTGTCACCCCTTCCAGGTGAGACTTGTAGTGGTTTCCTTTTGCCCTTCCCCATAAAGCCCTGTAAGGTCCAGTCGCTGTCCACCTGTCCAGCCTCATGGGTACCACACGTCCCTGTCTATGCTCCTGCCATGGGCTTCCTTTCAGCTCCTTGCCTTTCCAGGCTCCCTCCACAATGGGGCTTTTGCACACGTTGTTGCCTCTACTAGAACATTCTTTTCTGCTACCTTTACCCAGCTTTCCTTGGCTTCCCTGACTAGATCAGTCATTCCTAATGAAGCACTGTGTACCCATCCTTTCTACCATGTCATAGTAGCAGTTTTACTTTTTTCCCCCATTATTCAGTTGTCTCTCTATGCTACTGGACTGTAAGCTTCACAAGGCCAGGAAATCTCTTCTTTGGACTACTGTTCTAGTCCTAGCCTCTAACAGATGATCAACAAACACTTATTGAATGAATAAACCTGTGGAAAGGTAAAAGAAATAAAAAACAAGCAAATAAACCCCACACAAAGCCTCCTTCGACTTTCATACCCTTTTTCAAAGGTTGGGATTATATAATATTGAGTTGTTTTTAACTCACAGTTTCTCTTAGGTACTAGGCTGTTCATGAATAATATTAATAGTGTTAAAATCCCTTTTACATGTAGAGATATAAGGTTATCAGTAGATAAAATAAAATTACTGCTAGTAGGACTCCTAGGTCAACCCACAAAGGCCTGTTTAACCATAGTGTCTCTAAAACAGTAGGTTTTTTTTTTTTAAAGATTTTATTTATTTTTCCTTTTTTCTCCCCAAAGCCCCCCGTGGTACATAGTTGTATATTCTTAGTTGTGGGTCCTTCTAGTTGTGGCATGTGGGACGCTGCCTCAGCGTGGTTTGATGAGCAGTGCCATGTCCACGCCCAGGATTCCAACCAACGAAACACTGGGCCGCCTGCAGCGAAGCGCGCGAACTTAACCACTCGGCCACACGGCCAGCCCCTCTAAAACAGTAGTTTTAAGCCTTGAAATCTACTAAGCCCCCATGAGCCTTGCGAGGGATGTGGGGGATATGAGAGAAAGAGGACTCCAAATACTAGTGGAGGAAAGATGCTCTGAGATGCGTGTTCTGAGGTATACCATTCTTATGGTGAGCGTGAAATGGCAGATGGGGATGGGGGGGGGGGGCGAGCCTTAGGGACCAATTGAGGGAACAAGTTGCTCCTAAGCCAGTTGATGTGCTGGGCTAGGATAGATCCCTTTCCTTCCCTCTGCATATGTCCCTTTTGAAAGTATGTATCCTGAAGCAGAAGACACAGCTTATCCTGCTGGAGGAAGACCTTTCTTTTGTCTAGAGTATAGAGGTAGCTGTACTTTGGGCTAGAATTTCTACGTAACATTCCACCCCGAGAGAAAGAGGCCGAAAGGAGCTTCTAAAGGTAGAAGGATGGGTACAGAGGCCTTCTTAGAGCAGGGGAGTGAAGTCAATTTGTGGAGTGATGAGAGACAGTGATTGCTAGAGAGAAGGGTAGATGGTACTCAGGAAATGAGAAGGCAGGAAGGGAGAGAAGAGCATGCGCAGGTTACTTGCCTGAGAATGAAGGACATGAACGTTCTTCTATTTCAATGACCAGATGTTCTGACAAATATTCCCAGAGCTCATAGCTCATTAGAAGTGCCAGTTACTGCAGCCAAACCTTTCTAGAGATTATCAGTTTTATTTTAGAAAGAACAATCTGCCTGCAAAGTTAAGAAAAATCTAAAATCCAGAAAATATCAAATTATATAAACAATTACCTTGCAATACGTTGTTTTCATGAAATGAGATGATACACAATGCTCTGAAAAAGCTTTTTTGTTAAAATTCCAGCAAAGAGGATTCCCTGAAGTTAAACCCCACGTTTTTTCCAAAGAGTTTTACACATGCCATCCATGCAGTAAGAAGCACAGGAATTCTGATGAGAACATACTTTTCAGGAATTTATCAGCCCCTTCCCTTTCACTCAGGAGGTGGCCTCTTATTCATGCCTGTTGGATGTAACCAGTGAAGCGAATACTTGAAACCAATTTCCTGGTTTGAGAAGAGGTTATTGATTCTCACAGCATGTATATACCTGGAAAATTTCATTGTTTAACTCTGCATGTGATGGTTCTTGCCTCACACTACTTTAAGTCAGGTAGCTTGGGTGAGGTATACAGATCCTCGTGGCTTTATTGAAGTCTTCAGAGGAGTTAAAAAATGTTTAACAAGTCTGAATGTTGCCTTGAGTTTAAAATACTGTATGTGCATCTCAGAAAATGTCTGAGTAGGTGAGGGATATTTTTTGTAAGCATGTGCTTTATTTTCACAGAGGAAGTTGAGAGAGAAATTTCCTGAGGTCTACCATTCTGCTGATGAGCATGAGATGGCAGATGGGGATGGAGGGGAGCCTTAGGGACCATTGAGGGAACAAGCTGCTCATAAGCCAGTTGATATGATGGGCTAGTACTTTGCCTAGTACCAAGAAGACTATGGAGGTGATTGATAAAACATCAAATTAAATGATTATATTTCTAGATCTTATTTTAAATGATCACTGCTTAACCTATTGGTGATTTATTATTTTCAGAATTGCAAAACTCCATCCATGTATTATTCATATCATATTAGCATTTATTGGTCCTATGACCTAAATTTGTATTCTTGAAATAAAAGGGAGCATCACTGATGGAAAGGAGAAACAGGGTATGGTGTCAGGCATGCACCACTCCCTGACAGATCTTGTGCATTTGTATTATTTTTCTCTAAGTAATAAAAGTTCAATTGAATAATTAATGTTCAACTCTTTGGGTGGATGAAAATGAACAAAAACTTGGCATGTTTGTAGTTAACACCTCTTCTGGGTGTTAAGAGTACGTGTAACGTGGTGAAGCCACATGCCACTGAATGTTTCCCCTCAGATCCTGGAAATATGTTCCAACCCCACTCCAACCCTCTTCCTCTTTTTCCCTTAGAAATATTATTATTGACCCAGGGACGATTCATTCCGGCAGGAAGTCTGCCATTTTGAACCACTTTGAGCAGGTTTTGTAGTGAGGGGAAATGATTTTTTGTTCTCAATCATCATTCATACGATGACCCTTGTGAGCAAGTTGGCTGATAAATCCATGGCCACGGGGGAGGATTTTAGTTTGTGACAAGGAAAATCTATTTCTGCTTCATGGGGAGAGACATCTCTGGCCCTTACCTGGGTGGGCTTTTGGTGGGAGATAGGCCCTTTTGGTATTTGTTGAGTTGAGCTGAGAGGCCTTTCTACTATAGCATTGTGTTTTAGAAATAAAACTCCCTGTGTCCTCATTTGGGGTGGGCAATTGATGGAGAAAAGAATCAAGTTAATATTTTTCTCAAACATCTGCATTTTGGGCTTTAATTTTTTTTTTAACTGATGACTTTTTCTCTTTCAGTCCCCATGGTTGATACAGAAGACTGTCATATGAACCAGTGAGAGTAACTGAAATGAAAAAAAAGGCTCCAGCATCTCGGTAAAAACATGCCACAAGGGACGAGAAGGAGAAGTTTCAACCAGCAGGCCAAGAGACCGGAGACAAGATGTGTGTGGACAAGGTAGCAGTGTGGGAAATATTTAATTCCCTGTGGTGATTGTTGACACATGGAGCTTGTGAAGCACAGAGCCCCAACTTATGGATCTTGTGTTATAATTTTTCAAAGACTTCACAGCAGCCACACTAGCCATACAACTAACACAAATAAATTGTTATATTTCTAAACTGTTATACACTTTGTCAATTAGCAGCTTAGGGTTCCTTCTGAATTTCTTGGGAAAACCTCCAGAGAGTCAGCAGTTCTCAAGGTGTGAGGTTCATCTTCTGTAGCTATTAGGGTCCCCTTGGGATGCACCCTCTAGTCTAGAGCAGGTCACCTGGAACTGAAAGTCTTCTGAGACACAAGAACGGGGAGCAGTTAGGAATGTGAAGGAAGATGCGGAGAAAACTTCTCTCTGCTCGAGAGATGAACCAAATTTAAAGGGGTGATGAGAACACTGGCAGAATGATATTTTTTCAGTATATTTTTTTATATTAAGTGATTTCCCCATCTGGTAGCTGCTGTTGCCTGTGCCTCCTTCCCAACCCCATTCGGGCATCATTTCTTATATCAGGGTAAAAAACCAGTTTCACCAGAGAACAGGAAAAAAAAAGGCTTTTGATTTTCTTAAGTCAAGACCCGAAGGGCACTTGGCACAGAAACTCTAAGATGACTTGGAGTGAGGCTTCTAGGCTCTAGGGGAACATGAAATTTTCCGGCTGTGCTGGCGGGGAGGGGAGGAGGAGGGAAGGGAAAGCTAAGGGGGAGTGAGGAAGCAGAGAGAGCTCTTAGGTGCTGGTGGGCCCTGTCTCTTCTGAGAAAAAGGCTCTGTGCCCTGCTCCCCAGAGGAGAAGGTGGTGGATACAGAAATCCCAGATGGCTTGGGTTATCATCACTTCCCAGCAGGGCCCAAGGAGACTGCAAAACTCCAGAACAGAAAGGGCCGAGTGGTTTCTAAGGAACGGAGAGTCTGAGCCATCCTTAGAGAGCCATCCCAGCACAGCATGTGGGCACAGGTTAGGATGAGTCCTCTGCTCAGAAATGCCACCAGAGTAGCAACAAAGGACCCATGGCTTTCGATTGGCATCTGAAGTGGGGGCAGTCTTGTGAGACTGAGCCCTTCACTTGTGGGTTCTGACCCCAACTCCAGGTAGATAGTGTCAGAATTGAATCAAATTCCAGGACACCCAGTTGGTGTCAGAGAATTGGTTGGTGGGGAAAAAAACCCCACACATTTGGGGTCAGAAGTATTTTGAGTAAAAAGAATTCAGACCTTCTGACGGCTTCCCTATTTTCCAAAGCACAATTCAAATTTCACTTGTTCACAGGTCCTCTCAGTTTTTATTATCTTCTCCATCCTCGTGCTCCTTTAGCACTTCCCGCATTCCTTACAGCCCTTTATCAAAGTCAGCCTGGACTGCAGGGTTTTGGTTTAGTGTCAGCTGCTGGGTGTGAACCCCAGAAGTATTCTGGGTTGTGTCCTCACAGCCCCTGCCGTGAAGGCACCTCCTAGGCTGGCAGGGATTTTGGCGCCTGGTATGTAATAAAGCCTGAATGTATATTTGTCAAACTAAATTGAATTTAAAATTTTTAAAGACACAGTTAGTGAAACATAGGCAGATCCTTGAAATAATGTTTAATTGGGCATGTCTCTGATTCTGTCACTGTTTTTCTTCCTTTTCCCCAAGTCTTTGTTTCAGATTTTTTCAAACATACAAAACAATTTAAAGAATCATTCAGTGAACATTCATATAACCACCATCTAACTTCCTGGTATACACTTTTTATATATATGTGTCTACATATATTTATATATTATTTATGTATCTCTCCATCTATCCATCCATCAATCCACATTATTTTTTCCTCACTGCCTTTCAAATACAATCAATGTTTGAGAGATCTTCAACTTTGGAATCAGATCTGGGATTAATTCCTAGATTCAGCCCTTATTTGTCGTATGGCCTTGGGGGTGTTGCTTAGCCTGCATCTATTTCCCCTCTGTAAATGGGGGATGGACAATGAAGCTGACTTCACAGGTGGTGGTGAGGATTAAATGACATAATGTAGATGAAGGGCCTGGCATGTAGTGTGTGTTCACTACATGGTAGCAAGAAAAAAAGTACAACATAAGTATTTATTTCAGCCATCAGCACTGATTTGCACTTCTGGTGTTCCTGCTTCCAGCCTCTGCTTTAGGCCCAGAAGGAAAAGAAATTCATAGGAGACAATGAGTCTCAGACTCTTTCTTGGTTATGAGCAAGAGTTCCCTGGATCTGAGGTAAGTAAGAGTGATCTGGGCTTTGGTGGAGAAACTGTGTTCTGAATTCTCCAGTGCAATTAAAAGGCTATAGAGGGGCTGCCCCGTGGCCGAGTGGTTGAGTTTGCGTGCTCTGCTTTGGCGGCCCAGGGTTTCACTGGTTCGGATCCTGGGTGCAGACATGGCATCGCACATTAGGCCATGCTGAGGCGGCAGCCCACATGCCACAACTAGAAGGACCTACAACTAAAAATATGCAACTATGTACCAGGGGGCTTTGGGGAGAAAAAGGAAAAATAAAATCTTTTTTTAAAAAAAAGGCCATAGAGCAAACAGTAGAAATCACCAATTATCTGCTTGTACCCAGATAAGATGGGGGATCTCAATGCTTATCTAAAATGTAGAAGAACCTTTGCTAAAGATGGAAGTGATTAGGAGAGAATGTCCGGGCTGAGCCCTCTGGTGCAGGGATTTGCATGTTTTCTGAGTGTAGGCCTCATTAGTACATCCTTCCACTCTAAGGCTATAGAAGATCCCCAAATCAGGGTACCAGAATTATGCCCAGATCAACTTGTTCCTGAAATGGGCCTAGAAGGCTGCGGCTGGAGGTTGGAGGATGAGATCGTCTTCACTGTGGCCTCCCGCCAGGCAGTATTTGGGATTGTTGGCAAGTTGGAAAAAGAAACTCTCATCCTTTGTTTCCTGCATGTGCCCTCACCATGCCCATCCACAAGCCCTATCATTGCAATGTCCATCACACTCCTTAGTTTAATCATGCTGAGTACAAGATGGTGTGAATATTGTGGTTTGAATGAATAAAACTGTGGTTCATCCCCATGAATTGTTTTCTGCTGAACACTCAGAGTTGAGGCCTCTTGATTTCAAATCTGTGTTAGTGTGTGTCAATAGAGTTGTCCGTGCATGAACTGGAAAACACCTGCTGTCCATCTCTTCGTAATGGTTTACAACCTAGATGATATGTCACATCAATCTGCGGATCTGTTTTAAAAATACAATCGCCTGCTTCCCCCCAGTTCTACCCCCAACCCTGAAAGTCTGAGATAATGGGTCTTGGGATAGCGCAGTGGAATCTACATGTTAAAAATATCTACAAATTACTTTACTTCATAGCCAGAGATAGGAACTACCTCTTTACTGTAAAGCTGTGTAGCTCTTCTTAAGAAAAATAGTGAGAGTTGAGCATGTCTACTTTTGACATGCAAAATCTTGGTTGACCTTTTCATTTTTGCATTCTTTTCTACCAGTTGATGGGCATAAAATGGAAACCTAGCTAAAATGAAAAGATGAGGAATACTTCCAAAGTAGAGAAGGTTGGGTGTAAAATAGAATAAGGACTCCCCGGCAGAGTTCTTGAGGAGACGCTCAGCTAAAGTGAAGAAGAGCTAATAGAGGTTATCCCAGCCACCTAGGACGGCAGTGCTGGGGATTGTCAGGTTGAGGGCATAAGCCAGGCCGGAAGGCAGACAGGCAGATTGAGTTACTGTATTTTGTCAATTCTAAAACATCCATACTTCACATTTTAATTTCCCGGGCATCTGTTGGCTGGGTGCCAATTGGGTTGCAGTTGTCATTGCCCATGCAGAACAAATTTTGTTATTCATGGTGGCAAAACTCAACGACTTCAGTTCCTCAAAGTTTTAGTCAGCAAGTAATTCAAGGACTATTTGAAGAAAGAATAAAATCTTGGTTGTTGTCTGAAAACCTACTGTTGTCATTTGCTAGTTAGATGCAAAAAGCAACAACATCCCAGCCTTTGGATTAAGTGTTAGTTGCTGGGAAGGAAATTCCAGAGATCATAGCGGAATGCTTTTTAAAGAAATACTGCATTCTCAATGCTCTTGATCACACAGACACTAATATCAGGTGAAAAATGGCAACAAACATGCCAATTCTGAGTTGAAAAGTGACCCAGGAGAGTTGGAATCTAAACATGAAGAAGTTTGGGGTATAGTTTAATTGGCAGCATTCTTTTTCTCTGTTAATGCTACATAATGGTGATACATCTTATAACTGATGGTCTCTGAGATTCAGTGTAATAAGATATTTGTGTTGGTCTTTACAAAGGAGAATATTGAAGAAAAGTCTGCTGGAAAAAAAGCATACGTAAAACTGTAGAAGGGACCAGGAATCACAGATCTGTGCATGTCTGACTTCCATAAAGGAAGTGCTTTCTGAGACAAGAGAGAAGAACCATCATACATGTAAACAATAGTAATATTTTTAAAGAAAAGCAGGTGGTTTTCATTTTAAGAAATTATTCCTATTTCACTGGAATTTTTTGATGGAGGCAAGTGACAGGAACTGATGGGTGTACTCAGGTAGACTTTCCAAAAGTCTTTTGCAGTTGGAGGTCCGTTGTTTGTTCCCCTCCTCTTGGGCTGGAGTAGCCCTGAGAAGCAGTCATTTTCCCTCTACTGGAAACCTCATAGCAGAATACCTCAAGACTCATAATGCACAAGTCTCATTCCTCTTCCACATGCTGCCCTTTGAATATGTCAAAATAGCTTCCACATAAACCTTGCACTGCTCTTCCTCAGGCTAGACATCTCTTTCTCCAAAGATTTGTCATAATCCATTTCTTCGAGGCCTTCCCATTCTTGAGTCTGTCCTCTGACACCTCCAATTTGTCTAAAGTCGTTATAACTAGGTAACACAGGTCCCAGTTTTCCAGGAATCTTAGTTTATGCCTATTTTCCAGGCTTAATTACTACCTGCAAACCCTTTCATTCTAAAAAGTGTCCTGATTAGAATAATATCATATATGGTCAACCTACTTACAACTGAACTAAATGCAATCTCTAAGGGTGGACTGACTAGTAAAAATTAGAGTGGGGCTCTCACCATCCTGGGTCTCGGTACTTTAGAGTTGAACAGATGCCTTAGTGACTTGGCCATACATCACACCACTGCCTCACGTTAAGCTTGTGGCTGACTGCAGTCCTCAAGTCTTTGCCACAAAGCCACGTCTTCCCTTGCAGTACTGGTTCTGGTGGTTCTATGGCATTAGTTCCTACTAAATTTCGTGACATTAGAATTCAACCCATTGTCCAATCTGCGAAGAACGCTCATCCAAAATGCTGCCTTATTCCTTTGAACTTCCTGCTGTAAGAAGATATAATCTTGTTTTCTGTATCATTCTCCCAGTTCTTGATTAAAAATGTTGCGTAGGAGAGTCTTGTGGCATATCACCTCTTTTCAGTTTGACTTCCATTCACATCCTGGAATTTAACATCATAAACTCACTTAACTGTAGCATCTTCCCGGCAGTGTATTTCTGCCTGTCATGTCATAATATCTTGGGAGACCTTGGAAAATGCCTGTTGAAACTGTAGATGACTAATGTAGAGTGTCTTTTCCTGATCTATGCATCTATATCTTGGACCAAAAAACAGGAAAGAAAAAACAGAGCTAAGCCTAATGTGAATTCTTAGTGCACTCCTTTTTAGGCCCCGTGGGGCCTTGGAAATGTATTGACTGGCACACAGGATAGGTCAGTGCTCAATGAATATTTGTTGATCCAAGCACGATTTTTCATTGAAAAACAATTGGGAGATCTTGCTCATGACTCTTGCTGTGAAAAAAGCCTATTTCCTTACACCTGCCAAGGACATCTGCTTTGGGAAGTCCCACACACAGTTCAGGTCCACACCAGAGTATGAATTAACTATTTGCTAATCATGTAAATATTTTTGCTGAAACAAAAACATGATTGAGACTGCAAGTGTGAACCGAATGCAGAAAGTGCCAGCTCTTTAATGTAAGCAATTAATTAGGCATCATCTTTACATCTGGTGATAGGTCCCAGGGTGTTAATCAAATCAAATATCACCAGCTGCCGAAAGGACAGGCTGTTTCAGCAAGGATTCCCTGCGCTGAAGGGGAGAGGGAGGTGGCATTGAAAAGGATTTCCTGAGGCTCCAGTGGCTAAGGACACCTCTAGAGGAATTGTGGGAAACTGCTTTGTAGGCACATCCGTAACAGATCAGATAGATACTGTCTTGAGTCAGCTGAAGTGATAGAAACAGCCCAGATTTGGAAGCCAGAGCTGGATTCAACTCTTGGTGCTGCTTCTTTCTAGCCTTGGAAAAATCACATCATCTGTCTGAGCCTTAGTTTCTTTAGCTTTAAAATGGAGGTGACAACACCTACCTTGTAGGGCTTTTGTAAGGGTAAGAGACTCTGTAGATGGCACCCAGGGCCATGACCTGCCTGCGGGAAGGATTCTGTATGGCAATTGGGGTGGTCGTGTTGGTGGTGGTTGATGATTGATGGGTTCTGGTCCCTACTCTCCTGCTGATATTTCCCTCTTCGAACTTGGACATGCCCTTAACTTGTTAGAGTTTGCCTCTCTCCATCTCTGAAAAGGCAGAAGTGGACTAGATGGTATTCTACGGCTAAGTCCCCGTCATTCTATGACAGGGATGAGGACTAGGGCAATTTTGTGATAAGCAGAGTGAGACATGGGAAAAGTACCCTGATATGTGGGAGGGTAGTCTGGCCAGCAAGGGTGATGTCTCACAGGGTGTTCATTTCCCCAACTCCAACCCCACAGCAGGCTTGAGGCCTCCTGAAATGAGCGATCACTCGAGTCCTCACCACCACACCTGCTTGGCTGCTATTGCAGGCGGGGGCTCGTGGTGGAGCATGTCTGTGCAGGGTTGGGAGACACTCAGCACCACAAGCAGGGTGCCTGGAAGGAAAAAGGAAATTTTGGAAGGTGGAGAGGGCTTGTCCTGAATTATTGGGATATTTCAAATAACATTTATTTTTTCTTTTCCTTTTTTTTCTTATTGTAAATTAATACATGGTTGACGCAGAGAGCTATGAACACACAATAGTTTAAAACTGCCACCTCTAACATTCTATATATGTCCTTCCAGTCATTTATATGTAAAACGAAAATGACCTCACACTATCACCCTATCTTATATGTACTTTTCTAGATATTTTCCTCTTCTTCCTAGTTGCTGTTGGAAGTTTTGCTGATTTCTGTTAATAGT